ACCTGGCCCAACTAGGTGGATCGTGGCGTTGAGGTGTTGCGCTCTGCTTCCCTCACTTTTTTTTCTTGTGAGCACGAGCTAGGAAAAGTGATTTTTGTTTTATTTTGATGGGCGTCTCGGCCGCCACCGATGTATTAGCTAGCAGTACTGACCAACGTACCACGTGGACGAAAAGCTCGAAGCTCCCTTCCCGAGAACCTGCTCGATTGTTCTCTTTCAAGTTTTTTTTTGTTGTTACTGATGTATTCAGCGGGAGGGATGTCATAAACGGCCGGCTGTCCTGCACATCGTCAGCGTCGCTGGTCAGGAATGCGGTCGCGAGATCAGGCAATGGAGATGCCTGGGACCTGCGCAACTGCCTGCAGTCCGGCGGCCTCGTGAGTGCTGGTCGCAACTGGAAGACGTGTCGGCGCTAGCAACTGATCGTCGCGCCGACGGCAACGTTACTGTTGCGGGGCCGGTACTGAGGTGTAGTCTAGCCGGACAGTGCAGCAGTGTCGACCAGCGGCGGTGTCGTGGTGCAAGGACATTATGGTCGTGCAATATTTTTTTTGTTAAAGCTTGTGTAGCTAATTTTTGATTTCGGGATATGGTTTGATTTAAGGTTGGGGGAATGTGTGTAAAGTTGTCTGCGCCGCATGGCGCACGTGTCTCGCCCCAAGGCTTTGTTTCGGTGGTGACCACCGCCGGGCGATAGACGGCGTGTTCGCTTTGAGTACCACTGTTGGTAGAGTAGTAGCGCCGGCGGTGGCCCCTGGCGGAAGGCAGGCCTTGGTGGTGGGCGAGAGTTGAGCGAGCCTCTTCTGCGCGTGGCGGCTGCCGTGAACGGTTGTCTGTAGCGTGGGTCCCCGGAGCTCGGCACTGCGGGCTTCGCACCGGGGTCCCCCGTGGAAAGTCAGGCGTTGGCAACGCCGCCTTGAGTATGTGTTAGTGTGTGTTTATCATGTTATTGTGTGTTTAGTGTGTCACTGCGTTATGTTGTTTGTATGGTAGCGAGTTAGTTGAAATTGGTGTATCATTCCGCGGACGATATCGTCGTCTAAATTAGTTAATAAATGTATGTATGTTGTGTGCTTTGTACCGACCGCGTCTGCTGTGTCCGTTCACTCCAAGAGCGTGGCGTGGCGATGCGCTTGCTCGCCTCGCTGAGACCCCACAAGAGCACAAAACTTGGTAAGATCTAATGATTATGACTCGTACTTTGATCCCAGTAAGCGCATGCATTGAACTCTCGCTAACTCAGCCGTACCTGCCCGCACACTGAGTAAACGTATTTTCTCCTGTGTAACGAGACACAAATCAAAATGTATAGAAAATTTGGAGCTGAAGTCCGAGTGTAGATTGTACGAGAATTTTGGTGTGCAAGTTGGCTTCACGGCAGGACTTTACGGCAATGCAAAGAAGGCGGTCTTGAATCATCATGCGAGTAGCCTTTCTTCCTCCCAAGGTTTGCGGTACCAGTTCTATGCAGGGGTGGGTTATACAGAAGAAAACACGATATTCACACGACCTTTCAGGCGTGCACCGACTGCGCGGCGCCGTGAACGAGGGTGCGCTAGAGGCCAACTGATAACTGCAACTGAAAGTGACGAAGCTCCGTACTACCGTGGCCATAAGTGAATGATAGGAAAGCTGTAATGCTTTGCATCAATTTGTGGCTTATTATCTTTAATCTGCGGCTGTGTTATCTGCACACCTTCATATCTTATTCGCTATGGATGAACAAGACAATAGCCACCGACGTTTCCCGCGCAACGATCGCGGCTAACAGTAGTTTAGTTTTCAATGTGTGCGCGCTGCCCTGGTCGTGCACGTGAACTGCGCCGTTGCTATCTTTATTCGCAACGTTATGGCAACCAATATTGAGTTGAGTCGTTGAGTGTTGACTGTGCATACACTTTCGTGGTCACCCATGATCATGTTCAACATGACTGTATTTGAGTTCGCAGCGGTTCTGGCAGAATGCAGGTACGCTGGGACTAAGTGTGTGCTGCTCGCGTGGACTTTCAACAGCAGCATCTTTTGTTTTCATCATGCACGGGTGCAACAGCCGAAATACAATTTGTTACAGCAAAATGTTACTTTTAAGCACTAAAATTCAAATTTTGAGAAGGTTATGGAGAAAAACATGAATGTTTTTAATCACGAAATAACAAATTTAGAGCAGTATAAAAAATGGTTACATTAGAATATATATATATATATATATATATATATATATATATATATATATATATATGGTGGGAGTAATAATTCAATGGGCCAGTTAGTCTTCGTGAAGGTATATATATATATATATATATATATATATATATATATATATATATAAACCATTAATTATCAATAAATTATGCAGTGTAAACATGAGCACTGCTATTTCAATAAAAGTAGTATTTTGAACCACCCCACAGAGCAAGCAATGATAAAGTTAATATTTGCATTTGCTGCGCCTGTCGGATGATTTGACAGACTCTACGAATTTAAATATACACCTGCCAAGCTCTCGACCATGAAATTCGAGAGATTCGTAAAAGCGAGAAGTAGGGGTCACACACAAAAAAAAAGCTGGTGCACAACTTAGTTTTTTTTTTTTTTTTTGAGAAAGCAGAAGTGTCATACAATGCTCCAAATGATTGCCAGTAGGTTATGTAGACATCATTGATTATACTGGCACTCAGAATTATATGGTGCACAAATGCATGAGTAACTCAACAAAATGTGCAGTATCCCGTGACTAGCACTAGCAACCCTTTCCAAATCTCAATACGCTTTTTCGCAAGACACCGATGTACTGCGGCGAAGGTAGCTTAAGCAGCATTCTTTGCATGCGTTGGAACCAAAGTGAGTGAAACAACTTTATTCGGTCCACAATAGACGCGAGTAAACTCAGCGTCACCTGGCTAGGCCCACTCGGGGACCATCAGGTTAAACCTGACGGCCCTCAAAAAATTTTCTAACCACTACCCCCCCCCCCCCCCCCGATCCACCTTCTTTGTTCTCTCCGCAGGGTTAGGTGCCCACTTCAGCTCCCTTGCAAGGCACGTTTGACCAAGTAAAGTACAACGGCGTGTGCCTGTTGGCCCGGCGACGGTACCGGATATCTATCGCCAGGACCATGGCTGGGACAACGCAACTTCAAGGCAAATAAAATGCTTCATGTGCCACTGCTAAGGCAATCAACGTGGTCGCTGGCAATGTCGGCGTTCGCAGCATGCTGAGCTTGTTCGTGCAAGGAAAGTGCGGCAGACGGTTCCATTTTTAGTTCCATAGCCATAGCCATAGTCGCGTTTTCACGCTAGTAAATTTACATTTGCCACGAGCGTTGCTGGCCACAGCAATGCATTTTTGTCTAGAAGTTCCATGGATTCGCCTAAAACTAGGTATCTGCTGCTGTCAGCGGACAGATGGGCAGGTGCCTAGAACATTTTAGATATACTGACTAATGACGCGAACCCCCAGGTGACCGATGGGGTCGGCATTTCTCGCCGAAATTAGCACACCCGAGAACATTGTGAGGCTGGCTGGGCATTTAGGTGCAGCATGGCACAATTTAAGCAAATTTTACAATTTCGGCACAACGATCAGGAATTATATCAAATTGGTGCAATTGGCACAGCTGTTCCAACCCTGCATCATGCCATCTTGCTGCGCATCACTCGCCAGTTTTGCTGCTCATTAACCTAAAAGCTTTGTATTCAGAACAATGAATAAATACCAACAGCCATATTTGAGTTATTAATGGCATTTACATTATTTAACTTTCTGTGCCATGAATACGAAAATGCCTAAAGATCTGCAGCCCCACACAAACTTTGCGAGGGAACCACTCAATTGCCATACAGAACTGCCGTGTAGCAGCGTGACAATTCCATCGAGTCAATAAAGTTGAGCCATTTTAATGGCTATCAACTGGACGACCTTTTCAAAAGGCCCATGTCACACGGGTATTACACAGTGGCATAGTCGCCACAGTATGACGAACCCCAAAACTGGTCTATTACAAGAGAAATTTGTTCATCGGCCAAGTTCTTTTCTGGTGTTTACAACTGTACATTACAGGTTGAATGTTCAAAAAACACAATTGTCCTTCATGAAAAGGAACACGTGAGAGCATGGTCTGTGCTCAGCAGCGATTGCCTACAGCAGCTTAACTGACAGCTAAAGAAAGCACATCCACTTTTTTTTAGGGGGAGGGCAGAATCACACCTAGTGAGACTCGCGCAGGAACGTAATCTAGCATGGTTCTTGCAATAGCCATGACTTGTTATTCAGTTTGCCAATAGATGATGCAGAAAGTGGAGATGCTTTCTTTGGTTATCTATTGATGGTGCTGTAGGCAGCCACCACCGGACACAAGCCACGTGCTAGTGTGTTCCCTTTTATAAAGGAAGACAGTCAATGCAGGAAAAATAAGGGAGGTGACGAAATAGTTAAGTGCAGGTCAGGCCAGCAACGAAAGGTTTGTAGGCCATATGCTTGAGACCCCATACTTACATCAGCAGAGGAAAGTGAAAAGACAATAAAAACTTTATACAACACTTAGCAGGGATTAAACAAGAGAAAGACGTACCGTTTGTTGTAGCTAGCGATGCTAATGTAGCATTCGAATGCTTACATATGTACTCCTATGACTCAGCAAGTTCTAATGCTCCACATCCCTGCAGGAATATGCCAACGAATGCTGCTTATATTTCATTTCAATGAGTATGACTGCGCTGTAAAGCAAGTGCAGCCATAACGTAAGACAATGAGCTACCCTTAAATGCCAGTGTTGTCAACATGATTCATAAGCCCACGACATTCACACAACTACTCTGATGACATGAATACATCAATCCACCTTCTAGACTTTGCTGAAAGTGTGGCATAAGATGCACGCTCAGCCAAATTTTGCCAGAGGATATTCGCTGAATGCGTCACATAAATTACATTTTCACAAAGCGTGGGTGAAGTGTAGTTTTGACAGCTATGCAATTTTGATCAGTGAAGTTGTATCTCACCTGCATGACCTCTGGGTCGTCCCCGTCATCCTGGGGGGCAGCCCCCAAAGGGGGAGGGGGCGCCACGGGGCACACGCGCACTTCCTCCATACCGCACTGCACCACCATGAAAGCACTGGCGTTTCCGGGCCCTCAGCTGGCAGCTGCCCACAGGCTAGGGCCATGTTTGCACTGCTGCCTGCCAGCTGCAGCAAGACAACAGCCATCAGCACCACAAATAATCTTAATACTAATGTAACATTTCAAAGTTTTTATTAAATATCAAACACTCTTTAGAGAAAAAAAGTGAAACCAAACAACTACCACACTTTCATACATGGTCCATAACATGGGTACAAAACTTTAAGCAACAAGGTTCAGTAGGTCCAGTGTGATATCTCGTGTGGCTTAGTGTGTTGACTAATGAGGCTCAATGTATTATGTGCACTCAGATAACCAAACTGATGTGCTAGAAATGAGGTTCCATGGTTCCACGAAACCTAATATACACTAAGAATGCAGTGACGCAAGTGCTTAGATTTTCACAGGCATTGAATGTGTCTTAGAACTTACTGGAAGAAAAGGGAATGCAAGTCTACTAAAGCATTGTTGGAACCACCATGAGGTTTCCAGAGAAGATTTGTAGAATCATTAGACCTGATTTTTCAGGCCTAGTCAACTCTTTATCATGGTCAACTTGATTGCATTTTGGTGGCCCCAAGGACTCAATCATACTAACTGTAAGAAACATCAGAAAACTTACTAGTCTGTGCAACAGTAGTCTAATAGCAAAAAGATCACAAATGTTACAAATGCCAGCCATCATTATGATGCATCAAGATTGTGGATAGAGTGCCATGTTCAAGACAGCAAGTTCGGCTTTGCTTTTCTCAACGTTTTCTTGCAAAAATACCCATATCAAACTGAAACAAAGGAATTTGTACCTGTTTAACTGCTTTACAATCACTTTTGCTGGCTCAAAAAGAAACTAAAAAGAACCCATCAAAAGATGTTTTGCATAAGTCAACACCTTAAGGGTACACCAAAACAATTTTGGCGATTTTGCATGAATCCATTGAGCCTATAAAGCAAATCCTAAGAAAGATTTGCAGACCGATTCAAGCTCTTTGCATCAAGTGTAATTCCAAGTCTTTACACAGGTAAATCGCAACAGATCCCAGCGGCTTAGCCAAATGACTTTTTTACTTCCCAAGTCCACCTTGCATAGCATAGCATAGCATGTTACATAGCACCCGATGATCGATCTGATTGGAAATGTTCAGTATACACCAATGAACCCTCACGATGGACAGCAAGCATCATCTGCCTGTCTTACAGCTTGCTTTGTGTTTACATCAGCTCCATGACAGTGCTTCTATCGAGCCTTCTTTTCTCAAACACTATAAACCTAGCAGAGTTGTACGCCACAAATCTTGTGATTGGCAACTAGTAAAGCTGCAACACTGTGTAAGGCTTGTGAAGCATCAGGCGAGCAGAGTCAAAGAAGTGAACGTCAGTCTCTCACTATCAGATCAACATCAGAGTCCGCACCTCTGCAGCTGTAACTTCACACCTTAAGACATCATAATCACATTGCCCAAGTTTACACTTATCGGTGATCGTTCTCAAATACTTTTTGACAGTGAGACAAATGAAGGCAATAGTTGACTCAACAAGACAGATGTAAATTTGAGCTCTTCACATTGAGCTCCTAATAAGGTTAAAGTCGCACAATAAACTTGGCATTTTAGCAATCAGATTGACAGTGAGACAAATGAAGGCAATAGTATGGTTGTTTGCCGACTCCATGCAGACACCACAGCTGCAATGAAAGAATTTTTTAGGTCACACAACTACAGAACTCGCATAGTAAATATTACCTTAATAAAAATGTAATGGTTCATCTTCCCCATGTACACAGAGCTCGTACAATCAATATCATCCATGATGAACTACTCAGTCCCACAAGGGTGGGCGATCAACAGTTCAACTCTGGTGTGATTCAAATCATGAAAATGTTTTTCAATCTCTGATTGACAGTTTTGAATCTGCCGAACGAGCAATGAATGAGTGATACATGAAGCAATACATGGCTCGCAGACAACAGTGTGTGCAGGGCACGAGTGCTATGAAACACAAGAGCAGGTACACCAGTGACTGGTTTTTAGCAGAGAGGTGGCAAAACCATCACACTAACATACCACCTGTCTGCACTTCGGAAGCTTATTGAGCTATTCAAATACAATATCTTCAGTTTTGAATATTTGCACTTTCTTGAAATTACCTTTTGAAACAGAAAATATTAAATATGCAAATTACTCAAAAGGAGCATAGCACAAGTTCTAAATTGCCAAAATTAATTTACAAAGCTATTGAGGCATAAAAGCACCATGTCCCTCGTGGACTCTTATAAAGGATGCACTCCCAACATGGCAACTTAAAATTTGGAAGAAAAAAAAGTTTCACGAAGAAAAAAAAATGCCCAATAACAACTGATGCATTAAAAGTTAGGATGTCATCTCAAAATTACACAAAGTAACTCCAAAAATTTCAAATAACTACAAGAGGTTTACAATGACATCTACAGCATCACAGGTGGCAGGCATAGAAAGCGAAATCCACAAATGTGCCTGCAGAGAGAGCAATGGAGTGTCTAACGTCTAACAACACATTCGTGATTTCGTCTTAAATGAACAAAGTCATAAAACAAAAATAGTAGTCCTTTTCACGGTGAAGTACTATCAAAGAGAAACAAACAATACTGTGATGCATTTTATAATCACAGCTAGGAAAATATGACCAAATAAATGCTTTGGTCACTGTGGGGCGCACCTCGTAAAAATTTTGAAAAGAAAACCTCTGGCCATTACACGAGTCTATACCCTGGTTGCACTTACAATAAGCTCAAGAATAAAACATGTGATAAGTTACGAGTCTATACCCTGATTTCACTTAGATTAAACTCACGAACAAAACATGTGATAAGTTACAAAGTAATAAAAAGCACAATATGGTAAAGAGCTCACAAGACAGCGCCAATACCAAATCAACAGACTAACTCATGTCTTTTACCCGAATTTTTAATTATTGGCTTAAGACCACATGTATGAATGCAGAGTTAAAGAGCACCTTCAGAATTGATTGGAATGCGTTTCTGAAAGCTGCCAATGAATGCTGATTGGGGTTCGGAGAGCCTCTTTTGCTCTTCGTGGCGAGTGACGGATCGAATAAAGTTTATGGGGTATCCTTTTTTTTCTTCTGAAGTTCGCAATTACACGAGCCTCTTCTTTTCTGCACTTCGTGTCATTGGAACATATGCTCTTGGCTCTCTGAAGTAGTGTGGTCACAACAGAGACCTTGTGGCTGGCGGGATGAGATGAATCGCATTGAAGGTAATGGCTGGTGTGTGTTGGCTTCCTGTTGACAGAGAACTCTAATCTATTGCTCTTTCTTGCCACCTGGAAATCGGGAAGGGAACAGAAACCTTGTGGCTGGTGGGATGAGATGAATCGCATTGAAGGCAATGGCTGGTGTGTGTTGGCTTCCTGTCGACAAAGAACTCTAATCTATTGCTCTTTCTTGCCACCTGGAAATCGGGAAGGGGCAGGTGGTGGCCGCTTTCACACTTGGCCGTGAATTTTATGGCTGGGTACACGGAACTTAAGTACTGGCTGAAGTTTTCAACTTCAGATGTCTTGATAAAAAAACAATTGTCCATGAAATGAATAAAGAGCTTGCGTCACGGCAAAAAGATGAGTGCTTTCCCTTCTATATGCAGGTGGTCAAGTTTGCTTTTGTGACGAAGATAGAGTCTCCCATTGCGGTTCAACTGTTCTGCCTGAAAATAGTTTTTTTTTTGTAGAAAAAGTACATACTAGACTGGCAGAATTCCAGTAGACGGCAGAGCTCATCAACAGCTAAAGGAGTCCTTTCACTCAGGCTTGCGTCACCCTCAAGCACAGCAGCACGGGCAGAAAATACTGCTAAGGGTACTGGCACATAGGTGAACAAAGAAATGATATTGAAGGAGACCAAGCTCTCGTCTTCATCGATGATAACATCTGACGCTAGCTGCACGAAGTGGCTGAAGTCACGAACATCAGTTGGGGTCTTACGGGTGAGTGTGCAAACATTGTGTAAAAAATACAAAAGGGCTCGGCATGGAGAAGTCTACAATCGGTCGGAGGAGGACGTCAGGCTTGTGAATTTTTGGTAGTCCTTAGAAACTTACAGCAGATCTATTACAAAATCCAATGCACTGAGTTCCCTTCTTCGTACATTGGCGAGACAGCAAACCTATCGAAACGACTCAAACAACATGTCAACGACGTCCGGAAGCTGAATAAAAAAAAAAAGCACAGCGCCCTTGCCGAACGTTGTCACACGTTTGGCCACAAGATAAATTTCAACGAAACGACCATCCTAGAGAATGAGACTAACTGAAGGAGAAGACAACTACTCGAGTCATGGAGTATACATCGAACAGCCCAAACCATCAATTGTTCCCTCGGAACCCTTCCCCCAGTGTATGCACACGGACTATGTTCCGTGGCAAACGTTGGGTTATTAACCACCATGCAAGGCATTCAAGACACTGTGTAACATCACCACAGTTCTCCCTGAGGAAAGAACGAAGTCTGTTCTGAAACGTCGGGTTTTTGCACATTTTTACACACTTTACTTTGGTTGGAGTTCAAACAGTTTTTCTCAGTTATATACAATGTTTCTTGGTCATGAATGATATGATGTGCTCAGTAGTGAATTTCATTTTGCCTTCATTATGAGTGCTTTGAGGTATCAGATCTAGCCTGAAGTTGGCACAGACAAGGTCTGTGCACGTTCCCCTGGTGACGGTTATTTACAGTCATACAGAATGCATCGTAGAGCATATCAAGGCATCATATACTGCACAAGCCAGTCGCCCGTGATTCCCAGCGTCATTGTCATCATGTATAGTGGGCACCTTGCATGTGCTGTGCCGTATTGGCAAAAAGGGAATGTATGGTCTGGAACGCACTTGTTCTTTATCATCATCAGCACCGTGGTCATCGAGGGACGACCCTAAAGAGCTTCACTCTTAAGATTATTGCAGCTAGTCAAAATGCAACCAAATGCTGCTACTGGTCACATAGCCAGTGCTGTAGCAGCAGCAGTCAATGACTCTGGTTACCTGCTATCCAAACATTGGAAGTCTACAGACAAACTA